TCTCAATATTTTTATGTATTTTTCCATTAGTTTTACCTTTGAATATTGTTTAAGAATGACTATATAAATATTTACATGCCTAGAAATGTATAAAAATTGGCATATTTATTAACTTTGAACCCCTATAACATTTTATGGGGGTGAGACCGCCACGAACTTTTTATGGTACAGTGGTGGGGGAGACCTCCTCTTCCATCATCTAGACCTTTACCTGTAACTTGAATGCTACTTCTCTATTCAATTCATCTTTACAGTAAGGTCATCCTTCGATGTGAATTGAAATGTATCTAGGTATTAGTTGTTATCAAATACTTACTTAATTTTGACAATTTAAATGCATCTGCTGTATTAATAATGTCCACAAAAGCCTGTAGTTCGAATCTTCGTCCTGTAAGGTTTTTGTTATGATTTGCTACAGCAAATTTAAAAGCTGTTTGAATTTCGTCAGTCCCTTGTTCAAAAACGGCACCTAAAACATTTGAACATCTCCTCATTTAGCCATCATTAAATAATTAAACATCAGTTTTTTTGCTAACAATAAGGGGATGCTTGTTTTCATGATGATTGTATCAAATTAAACAAGTGCACTTCGTTGCTGCAGTTACCAAAACAACTCAAGAATGTAAATTACGATTGGATGACATGAAACATGCGCGTTTAAATCAAAAATATGAGGCGATTACGAATTAAAATAAAATTGGTAAATATTCAATTCAAAAATAATGATGTGTTTTGACAAACAATCTCAAGGAATTAATTACTTGTTAGAATAGATACATATAAATAATGACTAATGAATCCTTACAAAAGAAAATTTTGTTGACGATAATAGAGTACGGATACATATGCAATTGCTTCACTCTTACCTAAAGGTACTTTATCACCAAAGGAATAAGCGTTAGCAACCAATAAAGTAAACAAAAACACAAAGGAGATCAGCATCCTTATCAATATTCTAGGGAGACCGAACAGTCAGCATCACTAACCGTATCTTCCACGGGATGCGTTCTGGTTGCCTGGGACAAAGGCGCAGGCGCAGCGGGAAGCTGTCGTCCTCTTACCCTCAAAAATCATTACACCGTTTCCTTTTCCCATTTTCGTTTTACGCGATTATGTGTTTTAAATCACATTTTGAAGACGTTTATAAGAGATTTAATTTTCTCATGAGCAAAAACTATATGACATAAAAATAATTGAAATTTATCCAGGGTTTGACCAAATTTGTTGTTCTTAACGTTGAGCAGAACAATACACATCTTATTAAAAACGTTATTTTTATCAAGAAAAAAAGAGTATATTGGCTTAAACTGAATAGGTAGTTTAAAAAAATTGATAGTACTTGAAGCGTTTCAATGAACGCAAAATTTATCTTTACTTTTTCAATTTGCTTAAGATACAGAATAAAAGTGGCTATTTTGCTACCGAAAAAATTTTTTTTGTTAAAGGGAAAACGATAAAAAAAGGGAACAGTGCGTACTTAGGATTTGTAAATTTAGAAAAGGCTTTTGACAATGATAAATGGAACAAGATGTTAAACATTCTTAAAAATGTAGGCATGAGTTATAGAGATGGAAGAGTGATACTTAGTTTGTACAATGAGCAACAGGCAGTTATAGAAATGGGGCTGCAACGTAGAGAAGTAAATATTAGGAAGGGAGTCAAACAGGAATGCACACTGTCTCCGTTACTTTTTAATCTATACATCTAAGACGCGATTAACATCATTAAAGACAGTACAACTGTAGGAATAGATGTGCAAGGGCAAAAGATTAGTGCGCATAGATTTGCAGATGATATAGCAGTATTATCATCTAGCAAGAAGGAGTTAGAGATAGGTTTAAATAAAATGGAAGCGCTATTGACAAAACAGTATTGTATGAAAATAAATAAAAGTAAAACAAAAATACTGATACGCAAGGGAAGAAGCACTGGCCAGTATCCCGAGATAAAAACGTTCAGTCTGTCAGAGTCTGTGAAAGCGAGACTTGAATCTCCGTCTCTCATCGAGTCTCTCTGATGCGCTGAGAGAGACTGTCGAGAGACTGTCAAAAAACCGTTTAGCGTCTCTGAACGAGAGACTCGAGTCGCTCATAGAGAGAACCTCATTTTGTATCCAGTCTCTGAACGAGAGACTCGAATCTCTGAATGAGAGACTTGAATCTCTTATTAGGTGGTGTCTCGATAGACATGGTAAAAAAGTTCAACATATTTCAGAGATCCCAGTCTTTCTACGAGAAACTCGAGTCTCTCAATTTTTCAGTTTTATTCATTCAGTCCCTCTGTGAGAGACTCGAATCTCTGAATTAACAATTTTATCGTTCGAGTCTCTCATACAGAGACTGTGAGAGATCCATAAAAACACCTAGGCAATAACTGAGAGACTGTGAAAGACTGTGAGAGACGCTCTCAGAGATGCTGAAAGACTCTGAGAGACTGAAAATTTTTGTCTAGGAATGCTGGGTTATATTTCGGAACACACTCTCTATTTTCGCTCTTGCGTCACAAAAAAGAATGTTATCAAAGATATGCGTGATCTCTGTGTTTATTGAACAAATAAAACAATAGGGAAGCCTTTTTATTTACTTTTATAATTGATACCTGGACAAATACAAAAGGTAACAATAAAATATTATGGCACGTGTCAATCTTATCATTAATAATAATAAATAAATTGATAGAAACAGTTACACTATTTTTGTTAATGTTACAGAATTATCAATACATTAGGACTAGTCTTAACTACTTATTTATATTTTACAAATAATGAATTCGTGTATATTAATATAATGAAACAAAGTTTACAAAATCCAGTCTGTACTTACTAATGTTACAGTAACCTAATTAGTTTTGATTGACTATCCTGTAGGTACTTTATTGTATTTTTCGATAATCCGCATTTATCATTTTTTCTCCAATATTGAAATAAGAAAATGATTAACAAGTCATCTATTGGAAATATCAATTTTTTTTGATATTTTACTCCAAAAATTCTTTAATGCGAAGTAATTGAAAATACATCATTCATAAATTACAAGTTAAACTATACTGTTATCTGGTATCATAAGAACGTATTAATTTAATAATAGATATTATATACAATATTAAAAAAAAACAAATTAATTTGAATCATAAATCTACCATACAATAGTAAAACAACTCAAGCATCCTCTTTTTCCAAAAATATCTTCCACAGATCATTGTCAGCATCTTACAGTCATAAAAACAGTTTACATTTTCCGATGAACCCCCATCAGAATCCAATTTTCTTCAAATTATAGTAATTATTTATTATTTTCCTCAATGTTGTTGGTCATTTTCCTTCAATCCTTCGGTAAGGCACTGTCACTTTTTCCTCTAACATAGAGTCTCATGGTATTAGTTTTTGTTCCCAGCATTCGCTCCAGTAACGATTGCTTAGATTTTCTTCTAGAAACCAAAACTGATCTACACAATTCCTGCAAATTATTAAATAATTGAAATAAAATCAATAGATCTAGTCTCTAAAGCAGTCCTGGCTTTAGAAACTAGTTCAGTTTGCTTGGTATTTATTCTTAATTATTATTGGGCCTATTTTTAAAATAATTAATTACCTGAAAGACTGTGGCAACTGCAGCCACTTGTTCAGCCGCTGCGACCTCCGAAAATCCGCAGTCGTAGTCTCGAGCCAATATGGCGCCTTCCTCACAGCTCACTTGACGCAAGTGGACCATATCACATTTGTTTGCCACCAAATACAGCGGCATATCACAGTTGGCTAAGGACGACACAATCTTTTTAACAAATGCAAACGATTGTCGATCGATTATGGAATACACCAAGAGCAGCCCATCAGCCCATGACACTGTGTCATGAGATGGAAGATCATTTTCGTTCTATAAATGAAAATAACTGTTTTTCAGTTTTTGGTAGTAGTCGGTAACCTTCGAAATTTACGTTGACTAAAAATTAAGGAAAAGGCAGTTATAGAGCAGGAGCTGCAACGTAGAGAAGTAAATATTAGGAAGGGAGTCAGACAGGGATGCACGCTGTCACCTCTACTTTTTAATCTATACATCGAAGACGCGATCAACATCATTAAAGACAGTACAGTCTATTTCAATTTGTTAGAATTGTGACCATGAAGAAATCTGTGCGAAGATAGAAAGAATACACACTAGGCATGAGCAAGACAGAAATAGTTGGAACAAGCTTGAACTAGCACAGCTTTCGATGGGCGGTCTTAGGAGATCGGCCATAACTGTACAGTACTAGACGAAAATGTTTAGTAATTTCTTAAAACAAAAATGTCTATGAAGTAATAACAGAAAACAAAGCAAAAGTTTTATAGGTGTGTAGAAGGTTAAGTTAATTCACTTGTTATTATTTTTGGCTAAATATGCTTTAATATGAAGCATATTCTTAAATTTTAACAAGGCAGTTTAAATAATTTTGCAAATGGTACTGTACACTTTTGTCTAGTTCTCGCTCGATGATCGATGAAGAAATGAGCTCCGCAGACAAATATGATTGAATTTGGAATTATGCTACGGCGCATCCTAATAAAGGGAAGGGGCATATCTCCAACTTCTTGAAACGAACCTTA